CCAAATTGAAGTTTATACTCTGAGGCTCCAGGTGGACAGGAATTTTACGGGGCTTCCTATTCAACCTGCTACATAGGCCTAAAGTTTCCACCTTAATACAAGTGGCATTATTACTCAATTGACAAAAAGCATAGTATTCTGTTTAGAGCATATGGATCAAGTCCACTAGGCTTTGAGGTACTCGCAGTTGAGAAATTCAATGCACTGTCACAAAAGTCCAAACAAACTTAATTTCATATTAGTTGTGAAAACGAATTTTCATCTCATGGGTAGGGATGCAAAACTTTAGAATTTTAAGTAGAGGATCACAATTTAAAGGCCCCCTCCTCCCCCATCCACCTGGGTGGCTCAGTCAGTTAAGTGTCTGACTTCAGCTCAGGTCATATCTCATGGTTTGTGAGTTCAAGCCCCACGTCTGGCTCTGTGCTGACAGCTCAGAGCCTGGAGTCTGCTTTGGATTCTCTGTCTCCCTCTCTCTGCCCCTCCCCTGCTTGTGCTCTGTTTCTCTCTCTCTCTCATAAATAAATAAACATTAAAAAAATTAAATGATCCCCCCAACATTTTTATAACATAACTGTAGCTTATATAATGCAGTATCATTCTGATTTTGCACCTAGGTCTTTTGCTTTAATCATGACCTGGCACACACAGAAGGAACTGGAATAAGATTATTTAAGAAGGAGCTAACCAAATGAATTCCAAGGTAAATTGTTATTCCTCCAATCTTTTCGTTCTGGGGGTAGACAAGAGAATAATTTCAATTCCCCAAAAGCACTCTCATCTCATCCTTAGCAAGAACTCTTATGGTCCCTTTAGCACTTTTGGTGAAGGGAGGCTCATTACCTCCTGAGACAACCCACCTCACATAAGGACAACGATTTCATCTACAAAACTGTCCTTAGTGTAGGTTCTATCATCTCTAATGCTTCAAACTGGAACATGGAGGCTCAGAGAGATATGCATAGTATGCAAACACATGAGGAAAAGCTTAGAAGGATATATATTAAAGTTTTCACGTAACTTTGTGTTTTCCTGAAATGTTAATAGTACAGTGAATACATTTTTTTTCAGATTTTATTTTTAAGTAATCTCTACACCCAAAGTGGGGCTCTAACCTACAACCCCAAGATCAAGAGCTGCATACTCCACCAACTGAGCCATCCAGGTGCCCCAAAATGAATGTATTTTTTTAGATTAAAATAATTGAAAGAACTTTGTTTTTCATATTCAGTGTTAATGATCTATTACGTTCTGAAAACAACTCAAGGTCCTATGAATGCATTTTTTTTTAAACTATAATTATAAAGCCTTAAGTTCAAGGTCACACAGAAAGTGGCAGAGCCAGGATTGGAACCCATTGCTAGACAAATTCCAATGAGGGTAGAATTTTCTGGACTGTCTCCTAGTGACCCTGAGCTCCAGTGTCTTGTCATTCCGGGTCTCAGGGCTCCTTTCATTCAGCTGGGCCTCCACCTCCAGCTTTGGCTCTCATCCCAGAGAGCAGGATACACCTGAGGAGGACTTGATAGGGATGAGACTCCAGGTCTGGGGCCTTGAGTGAATCTTGCACAGAGGTATTCTCTGGGACTACTCCCTCCCCCAATCCTGGTCCTTGAGGGCAGCCAACATTGCATTAGACTCTGCATCTCTAGGAGTAGCTCTTGGTGAGAAGTTGTGGGAGGAAGGAGACCCAGCACCAGGCAGTTTCACTAACTGTGTGATTTGAAGGGAAGGAGGTAAAGCGCTTCGGAGACAGTGGAGACCCCTCCGCCCCGGGTATGGACAGAATGTACGGGATGATTATTACCCAGATCATTGCTGTCGTCACCTTCGCCGAGTGTGGGACCTCCCCGCCCCTCCAAGGCCAATGTTTGCTCCAGAGCCCCTGCGCGCTAGCAAGCAGGTGACGCTGCCGCTGACGGCCAGCTGGGGGTAAGGGAGAGTAGAGGGGGGCCTTCGCGTCGGTGCAGCGAGAACTGCCACGTGATTCTCCGCAACGACGGCAGGCGTACCCTCTGTCCCTCCCCATCTGCCTCCGGATACCCACAGGCTGGCGCCGCGTCCTCAGGCGCTCCGGGCTTCCCCGCGTCACCTGCAGCCAGGGCGCCCCCCGCGTGGCCGCCATTCATTTCCTCCTACACAGCACGCGCAGCCCTAGCCTCCAGAGCCAGGAGATCTGCATGGCGCGGCAGGCACTTTGAGCCCGAGTTTCGGCTTCAGCAGCAGGGTTGACGGTCTACCCTGGTGAGCGCCTGTCGGCCCAGTAGCGAGATTCCTCCTAGAAGAGACCGAAATACACAGAGACTCAGGAGAGGCAACAGTGGCACGTAGGTACAGGGGCCAACCATGGAGACATACGAAAGGCAGAGACACGAGACAGACGTAGACAGAGACCACGACACAAAGCGATACGGGGCGCAGAGACAGATACAGACACAGAGAGATAGAGGGACATATAGATAGGCAGAGATAGACACAGCAGGGCAGAAAAACACTCCAGATAAACAGTTTAAGACCTAAAGACCAACCCGACACGAACGCGCCAACGGCGGTGACAGCACTCACCCGCCCGCTTGAGCTATTCCCGAATCCGCGGGATTCTCACAGTCCAGCACTAACCAGTACGGGATCCTCCCTCCCTCTCCCGCCGCCAGCGCGTTTCCCAGGTCCCCTCTTTCAGATGCCGCCCAGGCTCCAGGCTTCTGGCCCGGACCCGCCCGC